CCTCAAGTAGAACGCAAATGTTTTGAGAATGATGATGGCAACAAATGTACAAATGTGCTTGATACAATGGATGGATGTATGGGTTGTGATAAGAGTTGTACTATCCCCCAATAAAATGATTTTAAAAAAAACCCAAAAACTAGTGCCCTAGAAGGGAATGTCACCCTGAATTTATGTACTTTTTCTGTGAATCATCCCAGGTGTTGGGCTCCCATATGAAAGAAGGCCAAAAACATTTAAATATTTGTTTGAGAAAAACAAAATAAAAACTCAAAGAAATGGAAACATATGGTTTATTCCCAGCAGGTATTCTATATGCATGTCGGGAAATCATCCTGAATTAAAAAAAAAAAAAGCTTCTTGAATGAGCTAGTTACAATGAAACTTAGAAGAAGTTCAACAGTTGGCTAATCTGAACATGATCAATTGAGTCCTGCTGGCTCCTTTTACTAAGATCAGCTGATACCAGTTTACTAGGCAGTCTTTGGCCTCTTTGCCAAAAATTTGGCCCTCCATCACTTGCAAGGAACTATGTGGTATTGTGGAATAAATGTCGGTCTGTTAACCAAGAAGTCTGTGTTTTGAATCCATCAATCACTACAGGATAATGATGATGTAGTCTGCTTCCATAAACATATACAGCCCTATGGAGGAAGCTGCTCTGTCCTGTTGCAGGGTCACTATGCGTTGGGATCCACTTGATAATGGGTGCTCATCTGCACCAACCAAATTTAAATGACGTAAGCCCATTGTCTTTTTTATTATGTCACAAAATAATGGTTTTGTTATTCACTGCTCTATTCAAGCCAGAAAGAAACTTGTTTAACTAGGCTGCAAAGTTGATTAGCAATTTAGGGTGAAAAGATCTGGCCAGCAAAGCTGCAAGGCAGTATTAATTTGGCGTCAGGGATTTTTGGTAAGATGTTTCTTATTAATTCTTTTTTCTCTGACATCTTTCACATGACCTTTCAATCAGATGTGTACGTAAGCTCAATCAATTTAGGTTTAAGCACCCAAATGGTTTCCACAGAAATTAAAGATCTGAGTATGTGTTTATTAGTAGTAGAGGTCTAATAGTATTTGCAAAGAAATGGACATAATGCTGTTTAAGAATAGATTGAAAACAAGGGACAGAATGTACTCATGAACTTCTTTTGTAGCATATTGAGAACTTTTCCCCAAGCCCTTGTATACTTTAGTACCCAGGTATATAAGATTGCTTTTGTCATTTATAGCAGCTGTGTATAGTTAGAGGAAAATTTCACAAGGTTGTTTTCAATACTTAGCACTAACCGGTCTCCTTAATATTTTATTAATTTTTCCAAGCTAGATATAAAGACTCTCAGGCTTCTTCTCATGGCTTAGAAAACATGCAAATGCACTCTAATGAAATGTGGACTTTGCCTTGGTGGTGCTGTTGAGTGAGTGTTGGACTGTTAATTTACAGTGTTAACAAGGTCAGTGGTTCATACCTACCAGTCGTGCCATGAGGGAAAAGATGAGGCCGTCTGCTCCCATAAAGATTTACAAAGCCTTGAGAACCCCCGATTAGGGAAACTATGAGTCAGAAGTGACTCAGTGGCAGTGGGATTCCCCCAACCCCTGGTTCTTTGAACAAACAACTTGGGAGGTACTTTTACCCCTAAACTCTATAAAGTGTTACCTTTCCCCTAGTTCTTTGGGGTGGCAACTTGGGGTGGGGATTCCCAAATTTTCTAGCACAGTGGATTTGTTATCTTTGTCCAGGGGATTTCCTAAGTTAACTGACATTTTCTGGGTAAGCTATAGGCAACCTGATGGTTTGATGCTTTTGTCTGGCACTGGGCTATAGTCTGCCCTGTGATTATTCTACTTACCAGGACTGGATTGGTCTGTTTAATAGACAAGAAGGTGGGATGTGAAACCACTCAATAGGACTGAGTGAATTGCCACCCACAGAGGGGATTGGTTGGTTGTGATTCTTCCGGAAGAGCAGTAGCTTGAAATTTGTCAAGTTGTTTGCTTATGTAAGGTCCAACCCTGTTGTCCTCCTTGGATGGCCCTGGCCTCCCCTCTGCTCCATTTGAAACATCAGAAAGTCAGCGTCTTGGACATAGCCATGAGGCATCACACAAATGCAACCTTCACTCAGCCAAGCATTTGTTCAAAGCAAAAGTACTTTCTAAAAAGAAATGGTCATTCTCCGCAGAATGGAGACCAGGGGTGTAACAAAACAAGGCTTTTTATTCCATTCTAACAAATATATGTTAACTAAGGGGAGGAATAGTTAGCATTTTGTTGGGAACAGAGGGAATTTCTCAGAATTAGATTGCCGCCCCTTTTCACCCCTTTATTTAGTCTTACTAGGATCTGTCCTGGTCTAGAGAGCAGTTCTCAACCTGGGGATCAAATGACCATTTCACAGGGATCACCCAATTCATAACAGTAGCAAAATGACAGTTATGAAGTAGCAACGAAAATAATTTTATGGCTTGGGGGGTCACCACAACATAAGGAACTGTATGAAAGGGTCACGGTATTAGGAAGGTTGAGAACCACTGCTCTAGAGAGCGTATGATTTAGTATGGTAATATAGTATGTTAATAAAGCAAAATGTATCTCTAGGTCACCTGTGACCCCTACTACACATGCCCCAATTTCAGAAAGCCCCTCACCTCAAGAGTTTCCTGCTCTATGATTTTAGCTCCTTTTTCTGGTTGGTTAAACCCCAAGGGAAGTTATTTCTGGACACAGCACGAGGCCCCATAATTTCCTGGCTCTGTCCCTAACACCCCCACAGAGGCAACGAGGGAACCTGAAGACGCAAAAGTGCTTGAAGTAGAGTGATTACAACTTGAGGCATCTATAATATGAGTCAAGGGCTTTAACCTTGAAGATAGCAAGAGTCTCAGAAGTGGCCTGGTGGCAGAGTTGGTGGCAGTGGCTGCTACTATAATCAGAGAAGCTGAGCAAGCTGTTATACTGGCTACGGAATGGAATATTTAGTTGGGAGGCCATTGGCAGGGAGGTCAAAGACAGATGTGTGTGTGCAGCCTGGAGGAGACCTGTATGACTGAGGCCTGCTTGCTTTCACGGCCAAGAGTAGCTAATGGACTGTGTTAAAAGTTGCTGTACATTGAAGAAGGAGGGGATGTGCTCCCTACTTTATGGGAGACTTCCAGATTTTGTCTGTGTGCTTCCTGATCCAGATCCCAAGTTCCTGTTACTCTCAAGTTGAGCCTTTTATTTCCCTAATAAACCCATATCTGTTAGGATGATCGGTGAGTTTTGTGTGGCATTGCAGTAGATTATTTAACCCTGTAGAGAAGTAGGGAGTGCTGGGAGGTGGGGGTGGGAGTGGGTGACTGGTGTAAGAAATGGTGAAGAAGCTGGAGAGTTGAAGTGTGTTTAATCTCTGCCTCATAGGAACCAGTTTTATGCTGATCCTCATTTTTCTCCCTCATGGATTTAGACAGTTCCTTATTTCATATATTACATGCACTGAGCACTTTGCATACAATTTTAGAGAGTTTATTTCCTTCTTAATCCTTATCGAATGATTTCTAGATCTTGGGACTACTAAATTTTCTAGAAGAGAATCCTAAATCTTATTAACATTGGTTTTAGGAATAAAATAGAGAACTCATTAAAGTATCTTTATTAAAAAAAGTTTTTTTAAATGTTTTCTCCCTTGCTTATAGCCTCGATCGGCCTGGCAATCCGTAAATGTTCTTTTGCAAAGATCTGACACTGGGACTCAAAAGGATGTCGGTACACAGACTGTTGGCCTATTCTACCCATCCAGCAAGCTCCTGGCAAATAAGGAACTGGAACTGATGTCTCACAAAGAAAGGCAGGAGAAGATGAGGGACCATAAACCGCTCCTCACAGCCATCAGCCCGGGAAGAGGTGATGGGACAGATGTGATTTCTTAGCACCTAACACAAAACAAAGCCATTTTTACTTTCTTCTTCCTTTGAGATTTTTTTTTCTTATTCTTTTTTCTAACTGTTTTTTCTGTGCATGAATAATAGATGTCCTCTACATTTCAAAACTCTAATCCCATCATCTAATTCATAAAACTAATGCATATACTCACTTTTTGTGTTATGCCAGAATGTTATGAGTCTTTTACCATTATTGTCATTTGCCATATCTTTAAAAATGTTTCTTTTTGTTGTTGAGAATATACACAGCAGAACATACACCGATTCAACACTTTCTATATGTATCATATGTGCCATTCTATCTTTTTAATTTTCATATTTCTTTTTTATAACTTTTTATTGTGTGTGAATGTACATTCAGCAATTCATATACACTTGTTTCATTTCATTCGATGTACCATCGCTTGTCCCGCTTCGTCTCTGTGTTTCTGTTTCCATTCCTCTCTCTAATCCTCTGAATTTTGCCCTTGAGTAAATCCTGCCCTTTTGATCATAAGTTGCTGATCATTTTAACATGAGTGTGAATTTAAATTCAAAAGCCGTGGGGACTGAAGGGCTATAGTCTTATGGGCCCCATGAGTCTCTGTCCAGTAAAAGTGGTGACTTTCATATTTTTAAGTTTAGTTCCACATTTCTCTCCCACTCTATCCAAGACCTTGTGATTCTTTTCAGAGCAGTTGGTAGTGGTAAGTAGGCACTGTATAATTCTTCTGGTCTCTGGGTTGTGTACATTAATGTTTTCAGGATCCAATCGTTCACTGAATTGTTTCCATATGTATTTTGATATTATCACTCCCTTTTCCACTATATAGGGAGAGACCAATAGTTACACCTTAGTTGTTCATGAGCTTGTCCAAGTGTAATGCAGAAATCATCTTTGTGCATTATGTTATACCAGTTGACCTTGGTGTCCCTGAGACTTTGGTCCTGAATCCCTAGCCCCAGTGATTCAGTCCTTCAACGCCTTTGGTTATGTCTACCGGAGTTCCTTAAGTTTGGTCCCTGTATGCTCTACTACATTCACAGATATACAAGAGGGTACCCAAAAAAACCCTGGAATTCTCCCCACCCTCCTATGTATTTAATTTTTTTTACAAAACAAACTATCACCTTTAAAGTTGCATTTAATACACTTGTCAAATCTGCAATTCCATTCTTGGAAACGTTTTTTCAAATTCTTCTGTTCGGTTGGCTGACAGCACCTCCTCGTTTTATTATTCACGGCTTTTTTTCCCCATCATTTTGTTGGGGGCTCATACAGCTATCACAATCCATACATGCATCCATTGTGTCAAGCACATTTGTATGTTTGTTGGCATCATCATTCTCAAAGCATTTTCTTTCTACTTGAGCCCTTGGTCTCAGCTCATTTTTCCCCCTCTCTCCCCCACCCTCCCTCCCTCCCGAACCCTTGATAATATACACATTATTATTATTATTCATGTCTTACACTGTCCAGTGTCTCCCTTCACCCAGTTTTCTGTTGTCCATCCCCCAGGGAGGGGGATATATGTAGATCTTTGTGATTGGTTACCCCCTTTCTACCCCACCTTCTCCATACCCTCCTGGTATCTCTATTCTCATTATTGGTCCTGAGGGGTTTATCGGTCCTGGATTCCCTGTGTTTCCAGCTCTCATCTGTACCAGTGTACATCCTCTGGTCTAGCCAGATTTGTCAGGTCGAATTGGGATCATGATAGTGGGAGGGAGGAATTATTAGAGAACTAGAGGAAAGTTGTATGTTTCGGCATTGCTATACTGCACCCTGACTGGCTCATCTCCTCCCCGCGACCCTTCCATAAGGGAATGTCCAGTTGCCTACAGATGGGCCTTGGGTCTCCACTCCACACACCTGCTCATTCACAGTATGATTTTTTTGTTCTTTGATGCCTGATACCTGATCCCATTGACACCTCATGATCATACAGGCTGGTGTGCTTCTTCCATGTGGACTTTGTTGCTTCCGAGCTAGATGGCCGCTTGTTTACCTTCAAGCCTTTAAGACCCAGACACTATATCTCTTGATAACCGGGCACCATCAGCTTTCTTCACCACATTTGCTTATGCACCCATTTTGTCTTCAGTGATGTGTCGAGAAGATGAGCATCATGGAATGCCAGTTTAATAGAACAAAGTGTTCTTGCATTGAGAGAGTACTTGAGTGGAGGCCCAATGTCCATCTGCTACCTTATTACTAAACCTATAAATACATGCATATAGATCTATTTCCCCATCAGCATATAGAAATACATTTACATATGTACCTGCCTATATTTAGACCTCTATAAATGCCCTTTGCCTCCTAGTTCTTTCCTCTATTTCCTTTTACTTTCCTCTTGTCCCACTATCATGCTCAGCCTTCATTTGGGTTTCAGTAATTCCTCTCAGTTACATTGCCCTTGATCAAGCCCTACCAAGCCTCTTATGCCCTACCAAGCCTCTTACACCCTCCTCACCATTGATTTTGGATCACTTGTTGTTCCCTTGTCCCTGAGTTTGTTAACACCCACTTCCTTTCCCCTGCCTCCCGCTCTCCTATGCCCCCCTCCAACTGTCTGTCCTGTTGTTTTCTCCTCCAGATTGTTTATCCCGCCTATCTTATCTAGATAGACCTGCTGAGATAATAATATGCACAAAAAACAAGACAGAGCAAAACAAAGCGACAACAATAACAAAATGACAAAAACCAGAAAAGCCTGTAAATAGTTTAAGGTCTGTTTGTTCACCTTTAGGAGTGTTTTCTGGTTGAGTCTGATGGGGTGCCATGCCCTGGCCCTAAACTCTATTTCTGGTATTCTCTGGAGACTTTGTTCTTTTTTCCCCTTGCTGTTCTGTTGCATGCCCTTAGTGTTTTGCCTCGGTGTGGTGGGGTCAGATTGGGTGCAATTCCTGCACTGTGTCTCCAGTGTTGTCCTCCGTAGCGCTATGGGTCAGTGAGGGACGTGTTTTGTAGTGGGTTTGGTAGTATGGTCCTCTCTGTATTTTGGCTGCTCTGAGCAGGAATATCGTCTTCGGGCTTGGTGGACCAGGAGGATGTGCTCCACTCTCTCTTCCTCTCCCTTCATTTGCTTTAGTGTGCTCTGATCAGAGATGTCCCTCTCCCTGAGCTTGAGCTTTGGTGCTGTCCTCTGAAGTGAATTCTTCCGCGGGGAGTGGGGACTGTCCACGTAGTTGGGTTTGGGGCTGGCCCCTCTTTCTTCACTTCTTCTAAGTTGTCAAATTACTGTCCTTGATTTCATGTCCCTCTGCATTCATGGAAACAAAAAGAAGTTGAATGGAGTGAGGTTAAGTGAGTAAGTCACTTGGGACAAGAGAGTCATGCTGTTTTTTACTCAAAACTTGTGCACTGAGATGGCTGTGTGAGTGGGTGCCTTGTCATTGTGGTAAAACCAGCCCCCTGTCTGCCACGAATTAGGCCTTTTTTTGTCACACACTGTTACACAACCTCTTCAGAACCTCTAAATCAGTGGTTCTCAATCTTCCAATTGCTGTGACCCTTCAATACAGCTCCTCATGTCGTGACCACCAAACCATAAAATTATTTTTGTTGCTACTGTCATTTTGCTACTATTATGAATCTAGTGACCCCTGTGAAAGGGTCATTTGACCCCCAAAGGGGTTGCGACCCACAGCTTGAGAACCACTGCTCTGAATAGAAAGCTTGATTAAAAGTCTGACATGGTGGAATGAACTCCAAATGTACTCCGAGTCGACATTTTCGTCCATTCAGGAAGTTGATGGATGTGCAGAATGAGGTTTGTCATCAATCAACATTTCACCTTTTTGAAACAAGAAAGCCACTCATACACTTGAGTTTTTCCCATAGCGCTGTTCTTGTAAACTGTGTTGCACATCAAAACAGTTTCTGCAGCATTTTTCCCAAACAGGAAACAAAATTTCACAGCCACACACTGTTCTCTGAAATCAGTCATCACAAAAAATGAGGTTCGAATGAAACTGCTTTTACAAAAAAATTCAAGGTGACCAGAGAGAACCTTCGCAGGTGACACCACCGGGTGCTCTAACTCAGAGCATGTTACTCGATGCTCACCTAGTGGGGTGCTGTGGGAAGGCATACTGCAAAATCTCTGCTCCACTCTGCCCAGCATAATTCTGTTTGTTTTGGGTTGTTTTTTTTTTTTTTTGAGGGGGTGGGGAGATAACTTCTTGTATTTGCAGCAAAGGTAAATGTACATATACAAATATCTTCTGTCATACCTATATATATTCATGAGTATACTCTCCTTCCTCCCATATGTGTTCAGAGTGTATGCATCTGAACATAACACTCATAAATAGCCACTATTGTAGGATTATGTATGTAACAATGTTAGTCTCTATTGCTCCTGGTAACCATCAAAGACTGTTATTTTGTTTTTAAGAAAAAGAACATTCACATTTTATTTGAATATCAAGTTTACTGAAGGAAAAGATACATCAAAAATGTAGAAGGAAAAAATTCCCAAGACAAGCTCATATTTAAAGTGCAAACTGGCATCTGTAGGTTGTCCTATAACATCAGGTCTGACGAGATCCCACAACAACTCATTGTGTGACATGGACAGAGTGAAATTCATCTGCCCTGCAGAAAAATGTGTCATTCTTCCTTCCTGTCTTAACCAGTGGGCAAAGTTGGTTCATCGAGGCAGATCTTCTGTAATGAACGTGGGAAGAGCTGCTCATGGGCCACAGGTTAATGGGAAAGAAACAAGTGAGATGCACAACCGATAGTTTATGCTTGCTTGACTGAGGTCACGTATGCCCAGACCCACTGCCTTGAATTCCAACTTTGTGACCCTATGTAGGTTTTAAGTGACTACAAGTCTTTACAGAGCAGCCAGCCTCATCTTTCTCCCTGTGGAGTGGAGTGGCTGATGGGTTTGCTAACCTTGAGGTAGTAGCCAAACGCCTATCCCATGGCACAACCAGGGCTTAGCAGTCCATATGATATATTAGCTAAAA